TGTGTGTGTGTGTGTGTGTGTAACACGCATGTAAGCCCATATATACATGAACACCCATAGAGGTTACGAGACTGGAAAAGATCTTATATATGGCTGAATTCCCAGAGCTTTTAGATCGATCTATCCCCGCCGGGAGTCTCACTAGATTACTGTCAGATAATCCGGTTTAAATGTCCGTCCCGCCTACTACAAGCTGTAAGGGGGTAATTAACTTTCGTGTCCGCTCGGCTGACAGCTATTTAGCGTGAACCCCCAGGGAGTTAGGTCGATCTAAAGTAGATCGATCTAATCTCTGGAAATGGGGTCTATGTCTTCTGTTAAAATATGCGTTTGATGCTCTTTATGTTGAGCTCCTGTGGATCGGGCTCCTATCTATAAGTGTGAAAGGAAGTGTTTTGTTAAGGAAAATTGAAATTGTATTTTATATGTCCTGAGGGTGTTTATGACTGGATAGAAATAACAGAACGGTAGCATGACAATGTACATTTGAAGTAAGCAATCAGGCAGAGGCCACTATAACGTTGATCATATGAGATAAAGAAACTGGTGGAAACCAAACCTCTTTTATTTCCAAAAAGACTACCATAAAATGAAATCTTATTCTCTTTCCTCTAAAAAAGCTGCAGTTAACAATGTATGCTATAATAAACTTGAAATTTTAAAGGACTGATATGAGACATAAAAAATATATATAAAATTACAGGCATTAGAATTTAACAATTTGTCATATAATACAGCATCCATGTAACTAGCAAGGCGGATTATTGTAAGAGAAATATTTTAATTTTTCAAGCGTGGTCAACACATCTATCGTTGTGAAGGGTATACAAATAACCCCGCTTAGTAAAATCTGGACCACGCCATCTTCGATATAATAGGTTTCAATTATTTTCATGAACAGATCTAGGGGAGTCCGTGAAGTCTATGTATCTCTTCGGAAGACAGACGGGGGGAATCCAGGTAAAACAATTTAAAAGAAATTGGAATGTGACATTGATTACAATAAATACGGACCTTAACATGTTACATATATAGTTTTCTCTCTTCCTTCTCCTGTATGACCATTTTATGGTAGGGCACTACAGGGCAAAAATAATCTTGTCCTTATATGAGCGTTCTTAGATCTTCGGTGGGCATATATTTTTCCCAATAAACACTTATCTTTTTACATTGCTATAAATCAAAGTGGTTAGGAGGAGATAATGAAGGCCTGTCTGATGTGTGGTGTTGCGTTTCGTCCCGTAACTATTCACACTTTGACCTTTTTTGGACCGCGCGGTAAAATGAAAAAATGCCTTCAGATAACCAACGATCCGATACAAAATCTGCAGATCAAAGACCCGTCACTTCAAGTGTTGTGATAAACGACTTGACCATGCGTTGGAGAGTCTTTATTATAAGCGGCGCTAGATCTATTTCAGTGGTCCTTCTAAGAGGGCAGAAAAGACATGTATCGGTTGTCCAACCCGTATATTCAAGTACAAGATTGTAACGCGGGTACAATTTCTGTAAAAAAAAATAAAAATGCTGAGTTCATCAACAGAACAAAAATATATCTTCTTGTTGTAGAAAATCTTATAAATTAACACTGTAGTAACTATTACAGTTTTCACGATAAAGGCACCATGCCAACTGGGACAACTGAACGATCTTTTTCGCTGTTGGCAGATATGCTCAAGAATGTCCATCATGCGCGATATAAGCACGTGACAGTAGAGAAAAAAAGTCGCACAGAGGAACCAAAGTCCAGTGGGTCTCCTATTACTGCCACATTTAAGCTATTATTGCCTAGATACTCCTGTCTCCCACGGTTTCCCCCACCTGGACCTCTCAAGCTAGCGGCTGTGACTTAAGCAAGTGGATGTTTCCACGCGAAGGGTCCACTTATTTACGTCATCTACATTTTAAGCACCTATAATATGACAACTAAAATTACACGCCCCAAATGCAAAGTTAATCTTTGGACTCTTAATTTATATATTTCATGGCTTTCTTCACCATTTCGTATTGATGTTGTCTGGTTATGGGATGTAATTGAAATTAACACTTGACTTGACGGGATATGTACTTCCGTATCCACCATTACCTGCAAAGTCTTTTTTTTACATTTTGCGAAGCAAATAAACGCAACGCTTTTTGTCGTCGGTGACTGAATTGTATTTTCGACCTCAACTTTTCTTTCAGTCATTGGATATCAAGTGGCCACCCATGCACAACACAAATTACCGAAATTACTTCGGGATCATTTTCTAGTGTTTTGTCTGAGAGAGGAGTCGAAGGTGTTTCACAGGTGTAATGAATCGATCGTTCAGACCACTTTACACGTCAATATTTATGCAGCCACTTGACCCTATTTGACGATTTCCTTTTGTACACGTGACTTCTCATGACAAATGTGAAACATATCCATTTTCTTTTGTATGCTGCTCTGTTTAAAAAAAGGAAATTTTAGAGGCCTGGACACGCATTACAACCATGTAGATACTAAGCTTACCTTGTGCCTGAGTTTTTGAGAAGCTTCGACTCCTTGGACGAGAAGGGTCGTTAGTGATAAGATCGCAGTGACGCTGAAATACAAAACGATATAAAGAAGAGTTAAACATGAAACGAAAAAATTATAGGGAACCTAGCAGACGAACTATTGGACTATTCGATTCTTTCTATCAACAAAAAACAAATTTGAATTCTAGCTAAAACAAATTGTCAATATTTGCCTAAAAAAAGCCTGTTTCCATTATTCTGTGAAAGAATGTAAAGCTCCCCCCTTTTCACTCTACTGTGCAAACACATTGGCAAGTAACTTTTCAACCTTTAGTAAAAACCCGATGTCAAAGGTTTAATGAAAAAAGTAAAGAAATAAAAAGAAGTGTTTTTACACAATTTTAGGGTTAAACAGTATAGGGTGGGAAGTTTACGCTACCTGAACGCGACATGCCCTTTTTTCAAGATTGAGCCGAGGCTTTCTAAACGCGATTTCGATGACATTTCTCATGACTTTTATTCTACTTCATATTTAAGCTTCTGTTGTAACTAGGAGACCACTAGCACCTGGGTGACAGCCGTGAGGTACGGGATCTTAACCCGCAGACAATAAAGGACAATATAGAGATAGGCAGCGAGCAATGCGATATCGTCGGCGATTTAATCAAGATCAAGATATATAAAACTTGTCTTATAAAATCGAATAATAAATTGTTTGATTTGTCATCTGTTTTATTGCGTAATGATGTCAATCCAATAACATACCGCATACCTGGTAACGTTAAACCTGCCTTTTCATTCAGATTAAGACATTAAAATTGGTTTCAATCTACCTGCATCTAAATAGATTTATTTCTGTTTCCACAAAAGAGTAAACAGAGTTTAATCAAGCCAATGGCGTTGGGTGATAACTGCAGTAGCAAATGGTGTCCTACTTTGTAAAATTGGGATATTGAGAATCCAGTCGGAAAGGAAGGAGGCTTAAAAATTTCATTCGGACGCGGTTAAATATTTAATCGAAAGAGAAGCCCAACCCTTTGGCAACAACGCACCCAGACAACATCAATCTCCTTGAGAGGGCTATCTAATCAGAAAGTGTCGGGATTTTATTGCGACTGCCCGCCTTGGACATTGTCCGAAATACGACTCTTATTGAAAATAACAATCTGCTCTTAATTTGAGATTACTCTAATAACTTTTAATGTGGACACAGCACTTTAAAGGGTATTACCTTAGATAGACACGTCAAGTGCAAATAATCGTTTACAGAGATAATTTTTAAGGATTGCAAGACAAATTGACAGATAGTATACTCTGAGTTGTGGTTACGCTTATATTTGTCAACTGTTTCTGCGGTTCATGGGAAGTTATAATTGCTGCTTTCCATTTTAAAGCTGTCACATTGTTTGAAAAATTGAAAAAATTAAAAAGATAAATCAACCCTTTGTTCAGATATCCAGTGAATCTTTCTTCAAACTAATTCTGGGCACGTTCTATCGATTTGATGGAGGAAATGAGACACATTAAAAAGCTGAAAATACAAATGACAGCATAATGCATGGGCGCCCTTCATGCTGGTCACTTTATGTATATCGTTGAGAATTATATTATGGAAGAAAATATACTGAACACAGGCACAGAGTGCAAGTTCTCTTGATTAGGTTCAGTGTTACACCACCTTCAAACACACATAGTACCTCTGAATTTTTGTAATATTATCAAATTACACAAGACAAACGAGAGTCCAATTAAATGTAGTAGTTGAGCCTAAATTGATGATTGTTACAGGCCCGATTATTTGACGTCTGTAGACCCAGACAGGGTAACCCATTGGCACAGTGCACAGCCGTAGAGCACAAGGGGCAGATCCTTATCACACCAACGGCGTTTTCGTTTATCCACATTAACTATGGTTATATAGGACTATAAATGAGAGTTAAATATACTTAATAGTATGAGAACATGTTCGACAAAGAGTTGCCACACTGTATTTGCCGCAATGGCGATGTTTTCTAGATCCTTCCTAGGTTTAAATACATAGGTCCTTGGGTCCCAGATATGTAGGCCTATTACAGGACATCGGTGCCGTAGAGTTGGTTAAAGTTCAAGTTAAAAATTCTATGTCACATTGTGTTTTCTCATATATACCTAAAGTGTTAGACCGTAGACATGAAGGAAACGAAGCGTAAATGTAAAGAGTATTAACTTTCACATAACTAGTGTGTCGAGATTGCTTGCAGATCAATGTTTGAAACGCGGGGCAGTCACGGCCGACTAGGAATAACACTTGAAGGTGCAAACCGGATAAGCAAACGATGGTTTTCTTGCAAGTGTTGTAAATGTAAGAACCATGCCACAACATACACCTTTCAATGTAATCAAATACCGGCTTAATTAAATGATGCGAAGTTATAGGCACCCTTTGTTTAGGCAAACGTTATGCGACTGAATAAGCGAAGTTGTTAGTATTGGTTATACTAAGTGTACTTTCATGCCCTCAGTAGCGTTTTCAAAGAGTTTCTTCGATATTATACAATGACTAAAAAGAATACAAACTTGGCTGGGCAATTTGATCGAACTAAGAACAAATTGGTTCTATTATTGACATATTATGCTTCCGTCCTTCAAACATAAGTTTTCATACTGTTAAACCCACGCTTCGTCTTTTCATTTTGCTCGTAGTCAAGTGCAGCATCAAAGCTTTCCTCGTGGACCAAATAAAAAGCATGGGATATTTTAAGAGGCACTTGCCATTTTGAATAATCACTTAGGCAAACTTACATTTGATTCCAAACTCTCATCTGTAGACCAGCCCTTTTTTTAAGTGGAGGTCGTAATCGCCATCTACATGATCCCACCATAGAAAGATGTTGATTTAATTTTTTTGTTCGCACGATAACGTTAATCCTGATAACACGGGTGTTAAGGCAATAGTTATCGAGAAAGGTGAAATGAGTTAGGAATAAGTGAAATTCAATTAATTCAAATGCGACTAACAACGGGCGTTTCAAACCACTCGGTTATCGTAAATCCCATCTTATTTAAAAACGATGACATGTGATATGACTGTTTCAAAACAATAATGCCGCTTTACATTTTATATAATTATTCAACTAGAAAAAATTTGAAAATGTTGCAATGAAATTGTCGTCCATCAAACAACACGCCATGGCCACAAAACCAGCTTCTAAAACTGTCACTGGTGGCATGAAAAACGACATCATGATATCGAACAAAAAACTAATCAAAGACTAGATCTGGATTTAATATTAAAGTCGCATGTGTATCTTTGCCGTTATTATAGCATTCCACAGCTAGCCAATCTTGACGACGTTTTTATTGCTTGCACTAATTCCCGATAAAAAAGGCGAGACTGCCAAGCAGTACAAGGCCTATTACCAGTGCCACTTTTATGTAAAGCCCCTTGTTCATTCGTTAAGTGTTCGCAACAGATAGCTATCTAATTTCTTGTTAACTTTTTTAAACAGGTTGTCGTTGACACAAAATATGCCATATTACTGGTACCATGTGTTCTGCCAATCTATGCCTTATTTCAATCATTCACCCTATACGGTCCTCATCATGCACCATAGTCACGACCAGGACTTTCAAAAATGCTCACCCCGGTGTCTCATTTATATTTTGATACCGACTGACTGCCCAAGGTCTACATCACACCAGCTAACGTTGTATCACCCGTGCTTGATGCTTCTGTACTCTAATATACATCTGTCCTAAATAATCTAGCTGTATTTTGATAGGTGAAGTTATAATTAGTTTTACAGAGAGATGATTCATTCTTGGTAACTCCCATTTTATAAAATTAAACTGCACGCTACAAATTGGCAAAAGCGAGAACTCGTTCTTCTGTTTAACCGGCAGTGCATTATTATTATGCTTGTCAGGCGCGAAATATTGAATTGAAGCGACAATCTAAACATAGTCCTCGACCTCCAGTAACTCAGACACACGACAACATTCATGTACTCACCTTAAGATGTTCATAATGGCTGGTCAATGACTTGCTACCTGAAACGCCGGGACTGCAGTTAATGTCTCTTGTGTTGTCAGCACGGTTGTACTTCTGTTATCTTAATGACTTTCTGTCAGTCTCAATGGGAAATGGTTTGTTGAAATCCTACGATATCAGGCTAAATATTTCTACTTAAACTCGTCACTTCAAACTCCACAAACTTGAACCTGTCTCGCTGGTTCCGTCAAATGACTGATAACTTTCACACCTTAAAGTGCGTGTCGAGTGAAATGAACAGTAGATGCAATGCCAACAGTAACCGTCTCATATCTGACGGTGCCTCTGCAACCGATACTCCGGTGTTAATATCCCCGGTATTACTGGAGAGCGGACGCCATGTGCTTTCTGCTAACCATCAGACTTTCCTCGTCACCAACAGGTAACAAACGCGTACTGTATTGTTATGATGACCTCGTCTGGAGGAGAGGATTTGTTTCGGTGCTGGGTAAAGGGCCACCACATACAGCGGAATGCGGCGCACTGCGTGTAACAAGAAGCGGTTCCACTTCAGTTACACAATTATCCAGTTAACACCTATTTGACACACGAAAACGTCCGTCACGCCTCCTTCTAAACTGTAATTAGCCACTGGTATGTGGGGGTTATTCCAGCGAGAAAATTGGAGACAAAATAAACGTTAAAGATATTCGCATAACATCTCTACCGCACGCTCCAAGTTTCTCTCTTGTGTCTCACTGGTGTATCGTATTGATATCAATCATCAAATGCAAACAAAACAAGACCTCCGAGTCTCGTCCAAAAAATAGGAAAACAGAGGCAAAGATTGGGTTTATCCTTTATATACGTGGTGGGCTTGCGATGCTCATTGAAAAGTGACTCTTTGAACCTTCTTTTGATTTTCATGCATTTAAAGCAGCGCAGGTGTGGGTTCATTTCAATATTCAAAGCACTATCCCTTACCAGGAAGATTTGCATGGGAATGCTTTGTGTCAATAATAATGAAGAAAAATGTCCTTTCTTAAATTCTTTTTAAAGCGCTTCAAGGACTGAACTAATTGAAATAATACAAGATAATTAGAGCTAGCTTTTGATGAAAAGATCTTTAAAATTTTAAAGAAAGGGAGAAAATAACCAGATCAAAGGCATCAGCGTACATAAGGGAGGTGGCCCAGGGGTAACGAACTTTTATGAATCAAACCACTGCAAGCAGGTATGTAACCCGAAGCGTGAGTACATTTCCCTTTAAAAACTTTACTCTTATCTGAAAACAAATCGGATTATGACGTTGGGTGTTTTCAAAATAAGTTATTTTTTCTAAATATAGACGGTACATTTAAATTATGTTTCCTATTGGAAAAAAATGTCAGACACAGGCATCCATAGCCACAGTTAGTCGTGGGTTATTCGAACGGGGTATTCTAGAAGTCTAAACATAAATCTTAACAAAGTCCGCAAATGCTATATGCACCGTTTCCGCTCCTTTGTGTAAATTCGAGCGGTTGCAACAAGAGTTTATAGTTAGTATTCTTATAAATATTGATGACATGACCAAAGGATGGTTTACGTGAAGAATTAACTGGTGCAAAAGGACTTCTATTTTCGTTGGACTAAATCTTCTGTTTTTATTTATTCATATTGGGTGGGTGGGGGGTACAAATATGGATCCGGCTGTATTTACACACAAGGCGTACTACTATCAATCGTAAGAGGTTGGTGTGCGTGCGTGCGTTGGTGCGCGCGCGCGTGTGTCAGAAGGGCTGGTCACAATTTGATGATCATCTGACTCCCTGGATAAGTGCTCATAAATCTTATATTGAAAAAAAAAAAAAAAAAAAAAAAACACCAAGCAGGCAAAACCATAACAGAGCGACCTGCCATCTCCAGGGCTATCTTTCGCAGATGAAATAAGGAAGCCCTGCATACATTCCTGGCTGACACGCCGAGATTTAGTGATGAGAAAATGCTCGTAACCCTGGCGAACTTCGTACTTCAGTAAGAACCACATATTAATGCCGCCAGATTTAATTTATTAGTTTGAAAAAAGTGATTGTTTTACACACAGTAGATATCATGACAACGAATGTATGCGCTACTTAAAAGGGTGTTGACACATCGGCATTGCGGGATTTACATGTTCGATATTCTACACAATCTATAATCATTTTGGTATTACCATTTATACTATTTAACTGTTCAATCTGCTCAATAGTATTAGTATAGACTTAAAGTTTTTTATACGGGTGTGTTTGAATGGAAGCTTGAAAAGTGTAAACGTCTCAGCCTCTCAGGCTAACAGCCTGAAGTGAAACATGTTGCTTTTCATGACTGATGAATGAAAAGTAAAGTTTGTTTATTTATCTTACCGTTCATAGCTAACATTGCGTGAGCCCGCTAAAACTTAAGGAGTTCTTAGTCCTCGAAAGTGTACAAAAAAGTTCTAACCAATTATCCAAAGCATTTGTCAATGACTTTGTGATGTCGATGAGCAGAGACACCTTTAATAGAGGGACATTTCTTTTTTCACAGCTAATGTCAACCAAGTGCTATGGTCCTGTGAGATAAACTGAAGATTTAAATAAGACGAAAGAAAGATTCAATTGAGACGCAGTGTTAGAACTGGGGTATCAAATATTTTTCTTTCTCTGGAAGTCATTGCACGCTCTGTACGTACTGCTTTTTCACATTATGGAAATGTTATGAATGCTAGATAAAAAGGCGACTATCCGCAGTGATTAAAAACGAAAAAAACCCTTAAGTATTTAAAAACATTTATCACACAGCTTGACACGACGAATCTTTTATATCTTGAATCTATTTAATCCGACCTGACAGCGGTCCATTATTCACCGACAACAAACTTCTTCAATACAGCACACACTTGGCTCGCGTATCTTACTAGTAGAATGGCCAGAGAAATGCAGTAGTTGCGACGGCGAAGCCGAACATTGCGAATCTCACCATTCACATGACCGTGCTAATACAGCATGCTAAGAAATAATGTTCAAAAAGTTAATCAAGAAAAAATATATACATCGTAATACTTGGGAAGATTACAATCTTGTGCTTGTGATGATATATATTGTTTTGAAATAAATCAATAGTAGTGATAAAGTTTATTCTATTTGAAAATAATGCAAATAAAACCAAACTAAGACAATATAGTTTATTTTCATCATGAAAAATGTAAGATAACAATAATGCTAATAATTAACAAGTCTCTTCTACTAAGAAGTCAATACAAACATGTTTCTTAGGTATTGGAAATTGATTAGGTGGGTTAAAGTCACACATACACTCTGTTATTTATCATTTTGAAAATACAGTTTAGCTGCTGCCTCTTTGTCACTGTCTGGGGGTGGAATGTTAACTGTAACTTTGGGCACAGTTTATTCTTAAGTTCGTCATCAAAATTACATTGCACAACAAACCTGATTCCTTGAGTTAAATGTTACAGAATGTGAAACTTTTAACTTGTACCATCTACCACACTTTTTTGGAACATTATTGAGCATTTATAAACATAAATACAATTTTATCAGTTCTACAAGAAAAAAAAATTGAAAGGCAGCTTGAGAATGAAATGAGAAGAGGTTTAAAAGTCTCAGGCAAGTTATAGATTGTTACTAAACAGAAGCCATGCGTTTGTTTTTGCACCATTAAATAACTGAAAGGAAAATAAATTTTTGTTATATTTTCCATATTAGATAAACTCTTACAGTACATTTATTGTGTTAGAAAATCTTACTAGAAAAAAAAAGCAATAAAAACAACATACATAAAATATGAAAAAAGTGAATACCAATTTAGCAGTGTTTACACACAAACCATAGTTCAAGTTTGCATATTTAGTGGACGGATTCTGAGACAGGTAATATATGCATCTTCAACCTTACCAGCTTTATATCTTATCTATCATTCCTCTGATACATACATGAATTAAGTATGGAATGTTAACAACTTTGGCTCTGTAACATTTTCAACAAACACAACAAGATTCCTCTTATTAAAAGATGCAACTATTTCAGCAAAGGCAAACCTAGTATTGTCTGATTCTAAGTAAGATAAGTAATCTTACAGGTCATAAACACTTCATGGACTTTTTGCCTTAAATACATTTATTATAAGTTTTACAAATATATCAACTGTTCTAAACATGCCTTTAAAAGTTAACGTTTTTTAAAAGTAAACTTTTTGGAAGATTCCGACACATATGCTTTATATAACAGTTCACAATGATGTCAAGAAAACTTTGATTTTGTGACAACCTTCAGAATTTTTGTCCAATTTTTATGCCAGTCTTGGACATATGATCCTCCAGAACCTTGATCACTTTCTGTAAGGAATCAATATAAAATCATTAATCTATGTTAAAAAATCAATCTCTCTCACATTAAATGAATTAAAAAATTTTAAAATAAAATCATTCAGAATATCAAGATGGTATAATTCCATATATCAAGCAAGGATGCCAAATGCAAGCTACTGAACTACAAGGAAACATACATATTGCAATTTATATGAACTAATAACTATTTGTTCTAAAGGATATGAGAATTTTCACCTACCCTCTTATCCATTGAAACTGCCATTTCATACACATTCTTTCCATACTGGAAAAAGAAAAACAAAAGCTTCAAAAATGGTTTTTAACCCAAGGATGAAACAATTGCATGAAGTATGCTTAATTACTTCAAGAACAGATTAATATCTATTCTTTTTATTCAATTTATTTTTGATCATACATGAAACATAGCTTATTAAGTCTGCATTTTTGGATCTTATCAAATATTTCACAAATATCTATAACAAATTGTAAAACTAAACAGGGAATGTCAAGTACCTCATTCTTTACAGATACATCTGCATTTTCTTTCAGTAAAAGAAGCACTAATTCCTGATACCCATTTATGACTGCTGACATTAGTGCTGTTTTTCCATCCTTATCATGCATGTTGACATTGGCTCCATGCTTTATCAAAACTTCTGCAATTTTCACATTTCCACCAATAGTCGCTAGAAAATGAAAACATTACAATCAGGACTTTTTTAATAAAAACCACTGTTACAAAGTCAACTAGCAATATTTTAATGACAAGAAGGTACTATCAACAGGAAAACATGAATCAACAACATAAATTGGAAGTTTGAAAATCCTTTTGGTTCAAACTACCGATAAAATGGTGACCTTTTCACATTTATCTGATGGCCTCATTTTGATATTACCAGCTCGAATCAATGGTGTCCAATGTGAGTGCGAATCTTTTGAGTTGACATCTGCACCATCTTGTATAATCCACTCCAGAAGGTTTGGGTCTCCACCATCTACAGCCCAATGTATGGGCATTGAACCCCCCTTGTCTCGTGCATTGTAGTCAGCACCATGCTTTCTAAGTTCCTGGGCCTCAGCGAGATTGCCAGAAAAACAGGCCATCATCAGTCTGAAAGTAATTAATGAACAAGCAATTTCCTAAAACGTATAATATTAAGTAAGAAATTCAACTTACACTAATGAGTTTTAAGTAGAAAAAGTTAAAACTCTTGTGATCAATTACTGTGATCAAATAAAATGTGAAAAAAAAGAGGAATACTTTTCAATCTGTAATTTGAACCACTGCAGTTCTTTTGAGTCCTTTTCTTTTCTTGTCTCATCAGATAGGTGGAGTAATTTTCAGATTTTTACATGCACGTTACACGGTAAGTTTATTCGAGAAAACAGAGAGCGTATTCACATGCATTGCAAACAACACCAACCTCAGTTTGACCTATGAATTAAAATGTCACTTTATATCACCTCCATCAACAGCCACAGATTGCATGAAGAATGACCTAGCTTCCTACAGATCCCTTCTCATGATACCCTTTCAATCCTAGCAGTATTATTTCCTAGCTACCAACTTGATGTGGCTTAAGAATTCAGTGCCACTTGGGAGGATCTGCACAGGAAATCCTGCCATCTAAGTTACTGGCAGAGCTATTACATGTGCTTTCAGTTACAATGGTTTTAGCATCAGCATACCTTTTATCTTTGGTGCAATATAATCCAGAGCGATTACCAACTTGACATTTTATGTCATCCTGTGATGGAAGCGAAATCATTTGTGCAAAAATCAATTTCAAAAAAGAGCTGAGATGAATTTGCAGTGATGCATTAGGTTGCTTTCATGCTCAAATGGCTTCTCAGCTACAAATGTCACTTTTGTAATCACCAATACCTACGCAGTTTTTTTCGACTCATTTGCGAAGTTGACGTCGGCACCATTTTCAATCAATGTTCTTAAAATACTGAAATAACAGAGGAAGATCTTATGAGAAATTTTGTGGAAACAACTCTAACAGAAGAAAATGATATTGATAAATCTTATTTATTTATTTATTTGGCTAGACAGAGTGTAATAATATAAAAATATTTAACTGGCTATCAATTTAGAATCAGATATTCCTTGAATTACTGTTTGCTTATCAAATTCTATCTTGATATAAGTCATGATTTTGACACCATACAAGTTACAATATCAAATTGAAAAAAAATTAAAGCTGGAGTGTTCTTACTCTAAATAACCTTTGGTTGCAGCTTGCATGAGCGGAGTGAAGCCATACTTGTCTGGAATCTCAGCTTTTACCTCTCTGGAATAAGATAAATAGTTCATGCCACTAAAACTGAACAATGAAAAGGTGAGTTACATTGCAATATACTCCTCACACACACACACACACACACACACACACACACACACACACACACACACACAGTTATACAATGAAAATAAATAATATAAATAACAATTACAATGAACATTAAGATAAATATAATGCTGTTTTTTTCATAAAAATGCATAGATGTCTAATAAGCCTGTCCTGTTGAACATAAACTACTAAACAACAATATATTTGGGTTTTTATAACTGTGTAGAACAATTAATAATGTACAACAGTCTAGCAACAAAATATCTATGCTTAACCATATCGCTCACAAAATCTCTTCATTAAAAAAAAAAAAAACTTGATTAAGACATGCATGTACTATGTGAAAGTAAAACATTCTGTAGAATGGTTGTACAGATTTTCAATTTAAGTCATTGTCTTTGATTTCTCCTATCAATACTTTACCCTGTGTGCAGAATCCGTTCAACTTCCTCCAGATTATTTGCATTGACTGCCCTATGTAGGTGGTCCCCAGTCAAAGGTTCCCCTGGTACAACACAAGAGGTATATTGTTAAATAATCCATAAGAACTCTTATCAACTTGCAGCTAAAACATGAAACGTCAGTTTGTTTTTTTCACACCCATTGATTGAGGCAATCAATGTAATTAATATTAATTCACCCATTTATAAAGTAGTTGGTTGTAAAGATATGCCATCTGTATTCACAGCTGTTTTTTTTTTTTTTTTTTTTTTTTTTTGTAGCAGTTATGGTTAACAACAGTTCTCTCTCCAATTTTTCAAAGCTCCATTTTATTCTATATATTATATGATGGTAAAGTAAGGAGATCAACTAAAGTTGGAAGGTAAAAGGCAAGAATCAAACCGATGCACATAATCACTATTGGACTTAATCAAAGGGGTGTGTTTTTTTGCTGAATATAATAAATGACAACTTTGCTTGTAGTTACCACTTATTCATGTCAATTACAAAATGAAAAAGATTTTTATATGTGCATCAACTAGTAGTCCACTTGAATTGCCCATTTTTCCACTCAAACACATAAGGGACCCAATAAGACAAAGTACTTATTGCAGCTGAACTTTCAATGAAATTCTTCTTATTCACTGTTCATTTTATTGTTAATACCAAATAAACCAAGCAACTTTTTAAAGTAAACATTTTCTTTTCTTTAATTATTGGTTATCTGACTAAGTATATCTATATTTATAAAAATACAGTAGATAGTAGTTGACTGAAGAGATAAATCTCTTTTTCATCAAAAGAAAACTACCTAGTTATATGCGGGCATGCTTGTGCAGTGGGCCATTTTCAAGAAAAACTGTAAAATAATACACAAGCATGCCTGTGTAGTGAGCCATTTTTAAGAAAACTGTCAAAAGAATATGTGGGCATGCTTGTGTGGTGAGCCATTTTTAAGAAAACTGTCGTGTTATATGAGGGCAAGCTTATGCGTTGAGCTATTTTCAGGCCTGGCTTTCTGTTAGGGATGTCCATATTTGTTTTCCAACCAAACATCCAATGAACTTGACATTATTTCTAATACAAAAGTTCCCAATAAATCTGATATCTTTAGTCAATATATCCAAGAAAGATGACGCAAGGCATTATGCATCAAGATGCCAATCTGAGTTTGATTTTTGGCTTCTCTTTGTGATGTAAATAAATATTTTGCTAACTCAAGTTAAAGGAAATTCTATACCAAGACACGTATACATCACATAATAACATCTCTGATTCCCTGCACAAACACTCTGTTAATGTTTAAAGATGCTGGTATATCAAACTGACAATCAATTGGAATGAACTCGGCCAACAGTAAAATACTGATATGCATAATTCCAATGGTGACTTCAAACTTGTGATTATGAAGCCACACCAACTAAAACACAATGGAACACTTATTACATAGTTTGTAACTTATTCATTTTAGTAATGTTTCAGTCAATTTTTTTCTGAGTGGCTTTACTATGACACTGTGACTTGTGGTGCATAATTTGACTTCTAATGCTATACAAATTGATTTCTTCTTGTACACTAAGCAATTTCTTGATGTACATATTATGCCTTTCTTTCGAGAAACATTGTGTTGTCAAGTAAATTTTATGGTATGCACACATTCATTTAATTGTGATGTACACTGCAACTTACTTGTGGTAACACATGAACTATTTTGTGTTCTAAACACTCCTGGACTTATTTACTGTACAAAACTGATACCCCCAGACTTACTTGTGGTGCACACTGTGGTAACAGCACTCCATTCTGAAGGCCCATCATCATTCTGGAACCTAAGCCTATACTTGTACTGTGTAAGTTCGTCCAGGGATTCAATCACATGACTCTTGGAATAACCTCTGGAAAGAAAATTACAGGAAAATAACCAAGTTACTTTCATCACAATATGCTTACTTTAATATTGCTATGGATAAGACAACATGCAATCATATCAACCCTTTGACAAAAAAAAAAAAAAAAAAAAAAAGGTTAGATACAGGTGCTTGCTACATCTGTAGATGACAATATCTTTTATATCTGAACTGGCTGAATCAATTGGACTACTCTGTATTTGAAAGAATGAGCACAAACCTGTGCAAGGTATTTACACCACATGGTCCACATACTAAGAATCTATTTGATATATGTTGCGTTTTGCTGGACTCCTTTAACTTCATAGATGCAAGACAACACAAAACATGCCTTAACTTAAATTTCAGCAAATACAATGTTATTGCATAAGAAAATAAAAAAAAAAAATCTGTGGCTTAAGTAAAACAAATTGCAGAAACTTTTCATTTTATTTCCATTTATGTTAAGCACAGCGTGCTTATCACACATATAATGTGTTGTAACTAACTCAAGTTAAGGCAGCTATAAGATGCAGTTTGAACCTTCAACAATAAGAGGGTATATTAATCCAAACTTGTGTATTTTCCCCCCTTCTGAAAAACTGTTTTCAGAAAAGGCAAAGTTCTGGATGAATGATAATAACCATACTATACCACTCTTTTAAGGTTCATTCTTCTAAAAAAGAAAAGGTGCCATTCAATTTACATAACATAACACATGTTAAACTTCCACTAAGCAAATATCCTATCAGAAAATAAATTCAATATTTCTCCTACTTAACCATATTTACCTGTGACGCATTAATTAAGGGGCACCATGCCTTGCTGTTTTCATAATTGATCCTGGTCAAAGAGGCATTCAGTGGCTTTTTAACAGGTACCGAATAGCACTTGGTTGTTATAGAAAGTAAAGGTTCTTTATAATATTTTTAAAGCTACACTACCCATCTTTCCCACCATACCTGAATTTAAGAAATGGGAATACAACAAACAGGGCTATATGGTTGTCTGATTATGGCTATTTTAATCTCAATGGAAAATTCAGCATTTATCTTATTTCTGGTTTTGAGATTTCTTTTAATTCTGAAAAATTGCTTTTCGTTCAAAGTTCTATCAAATTACTATACATTTTGTAAGATGCTTCATTATGTATTTCCTACAGAAACTGTTGACCTTTGTATTATATCTCTAATCCCTTTTTAGGTTTCTGGTATAATATCTCTAACTGACCAGTACCTGTTTTTGTTATTGTTAACCAAAAATAATACCTATGCCTACTAATTTCTATACATACAGCAGCAAAGAAAGGGTCTTAGTTTGGACAAGAAAAGCACCCCTGCCAGAAAAACAAATTTGGCATATGCACATAATTCTTATCTTGGGTAATGGAGCTCAAATCTGAGTGTTTGCATAAGAGGAAGAGGTCTGGAAGTTAAATATTAGATGACTTGCTCAGGAAAATAACAGAAAAGAAAAAGTCAAATATAAATCAGATTTCAGATTTAGGGGCTGTTCAGAATGAGCTACATCGACCTAGCTAGGTTGACTGTGCTCCATGGGGACTATTATATTTGCTGACTGCAATCAGACTGACAGACTAACATGCCTCCTTGCATGCTTCCCAGCAGTGAGGGGTAATAAACTTTTGTGTGCTCAACTTCCAGAAAATACCTGGACAAACTGCCATCTTTGATGAGGCTGTAATCCCCAATGGGACAGAATATGAAGAACAATTATTGGTCAATTTCAAGCATAAGACTTAGGCCATTTCCCCATTGTGCAGCATGCTTACGTATGTGATACAGTCTGTACCAGTACACTTTGACAGATTGACAACTAAATAGCCTGCCTATTCCATGGAGGAATGTTAGTACTACAAGGATATTGGGCCTTCCTGTTTGAGCCTATTCAGAACAGATGATCAGGTCATGAAGTGATCCGCTAAATAAATATGGCCAAACCCACTGAGCGCTGCTAATGGTCTCTCCACTTCCACGCCTGCCATTAAATGGATGAAATTTCGGCTCCAAGGTTACAAGGCCCCTGCAGTGATGGCGTGTGGAGGTGGGGAGAATCAGGAGATTAGTCGGCACTGCTTTTAAGTGAGCCGGCCATATTTAGTCCAAGGATTTGTTAGTTCGCTGATCAACTTATTTTGAATGCTCTCTCTGGCACAGCTAGACAAGTAACTTAAAACTTAAAGGGATAATAACTCTTCATATGATATCTATATTTCACAATAAAAACATTGTGAATAACTCATAGAAATATAATATACGGTATTCTGTTTTACCACAAAAACGGCAGTTATAGCTATCATTCTGATATCTGAGCTTGTCTTTAGACCACGTGACCTCCATTGATGGCTATACTCTGTTAAAATCTCTTAAGAGGTTTTAACAAAAAACCAAACTTTTTAGAAAAAAACCAGGGACTAACTTTGAATGTAAAAATGGATTCATTAACCATTGATAAGTATGGGAAAATTGTTGTTTACTCCAGGAAAATTCATCTTTTGGCAAAAACGAAGAGTTATTATCCATTTAATGTAAGGAGGTGAACATTTGGAGAAATTGTGAATGGGTAACACCCCCTGTAATGCAATTACATGTTAGAATTTCAAAGTGAATCAGTACAGAATGTCTCTCTACTTGACCGTGACGTGAGCAGGGGCTTAATAACATATGTCAAAAACTGGGAACTTGCAAAGGAGGTTACGTGACTTTGACATTTAAATGATGTGACATTAAGCACTACGGCAAACATTACAACCTTTGACAACTTGTAAAGACTATTCATAAAACCTAGCTTTTAACACCACAAACACCCTCGCACTAATGCAAGGCCCTCTTTTACACATATTTAATTGGCCTGAACAGAATTTGCATTGCAAGAGACATTAAGCTCTTCTCTTCTAACCAAGAAATCATATGAAAATTAAGCTTTTTATTAGTAGCTAAGAACTCTACAAAGTTCTGTTTTCATTACCATTATTTACATGGAAAAATACACTTATTTTAATCAACAAGTCTTCACATGTGTAAGATATATCAACACCAATTTGGCAGTTTAACAATATTGGGTAAAACTGAGGGTCATCTGGTGCTTCTAAACTAAGATCTGTTTATTAGATCTTAGTTCTAAATAAGATTTACATGTCATATATTATATTTGAAAAGCTTATTAGATACAATGGAAATGCATTTATTTCTTGTTCCTTTATGAATCAACAAATAGGTGTTGTCAACTCAATGTGGGATTAGTTTCAATCCCTTCAATCCCTTCAAACTCTCAATATAAGATATATATTAAGATTTTAAATATATGAATTCTGAAACGCCATGCTTATTTACCACTCTCCATAGAGGAATGTTCCTTTTACTAGTACATTAAGTATGTGTGTGTGTGTATTTGTGCATAAATTTTCTTTGGAAAAAAAAACTTGTTTATTGAGAGTACATTACAAAAGTTCTTTTTCACAGGGCATAATGCTTTGTGTAAAACTTCATTTCTTATCTATAAATCAAACAATATCCTTACTAGTACACACAGCCATTATCAATGGCTGGAGTGCCTGACAACAGACACCTTAACCAAAATCAATCAGACTAACGAGCTTAGCTCAAAATTTCTATCAATATAAGCAAGTACTAGTACATATCCTAGTACAAAACACAAAATAAAACTGATAGGTTAGGTAGACCAAGAACATAGAGCTAGTTGCTTTGTCAAATGAAAACTTACGTGTAAACATTCCCCCAGGAATTTGATTTTTTGTCTTGTTCTTGTACACTAACTCTGATTCTTCCTCCTTTTTCTCCTGTCTCTTCTTTGGCCTTGGCCAGAGCTTCATCCCAGTATAGCTCCACACTGAAATGGGTCACCTTCCCCACCACTGGAGGAGCTGGCCTGGACAATTCTGTGAAAGAGAAATGATGGAACATGGCAGGAGTTTATATAATTAAAAATGATTATTATTGTTTATTGATTGATTATTGATCCGGATCACCACCAAAAACTAATCATCTCTTCCTTGGCCCACTTCTGACAGTTCCTGAAAAAATATCAAAATCGGTCCATAACTTTTTGAGTTATGTTCATGACAAAAAAACAAACAAACAGACAAACAGGGGTGAAAACATAACCTCCTTGGCGGAGATAACAATGGCTAAGACAGTTTCTTTTCTCAAGAAATTGTTTCTCAAACTCCTCTGACCTAAAAATGGCCAAAAAACAAAACAAATTTAATTACATTGAGACTATGACCCCATTTCCATAGATTTTAGATCGATCTATCCCTGTGGGGAGTCTCACTAAATTACTGTCAGCTTAGCTGGCTTAAGCGTCTGCCCTGCCTACTAAAAGCTCTAAGGGGGTAGTTAACTATGGTGCGCGCTCGGGTGCCTGCATTTTAGCGTGAACCCCCAGGGAGTTAGGTCGATCTAAATCTTAATCTCTGGATTGATCTAAATCTCTGGGAATACAGCCTATGATACACAATGCTCTGAAAGTCAAGGGGGGGGGGGAAGAAGAAATTCATCTTTAACTGAAAAGATGCATCACATAATTGAGACAAAGAAAACAGTTCAGTGAACCATTGCTCTTTTCTTAAAAAAATATTGTGAAAATTTTTAATATTGTCTAAAAATGTTATTAAAAACTGTTAGGAAACAATTTTTAAAAATTATGTTATATATGTTCACATAATTTGATTGCAGCCTCTTCGTCAAAAGTTTAGAGTAGGGGCTAACAATGCTCTCCAAAATAAACCATCCCTTTGAAAAAATTATTTTCAAAAGGGATACAGAAATGATAATTTGAAGGTCAAAAGACAAATTTTAGATACAAGATAATGTAAGGAATATAATTTTGAGGACATGAGAGAAAAGACAAATTTTAGAGCCCTCGCATTGTGGTGGATGCGCAAACTGCTCATTTTACACCTTTTGAGGCCTTTCCTTTCATGCGTTAGCACAGTGTACCTATAAAAAATAATCTATATGAGTACTAACACATGAATTTCAAGCTAGCAAAAGCTGTACAGTATGTCCTCTCTCACACCATGTAGTATATTGTTCAAAGAAAGTATTTTGTATCACTTCACACATCAGTTTGACAGCGTTTTACTGGCAGTACTAAGTGACTTCACATATGGTTGCTTATACAATGTTATACAGTGTTATAAAGCCATAACTTCGTAGCATATGAGGCTGAAAACTGAGACCAAACGTATCTATTTTGGCAAGTGTACCTGTTGGCATGGCACATGTTGTCAAGTTGCATGAAAAAGCTTGTATGGAAACAGCATAAATAACATACAGGGCTAGGAAATAACAAATTAAGATATCATTATAGAAAAGACTCTGAGCTCTGCCCATTTCACACAAAAAGTACATGATTTGATTGTACTGGAAATTCCTCAACTAAAATGCGTGAAAATGCAATTGAAAACATCAAACACATTGACAAAAATCGTAGATCTAACTGTGATTCAGTCCGCCCACAAACCCTTGAAAAAACTTCGACTCACCACCAGACATAGTAGTACTTGCAGCGTCTGCGTTTTTTATTTGTCTGCACTTAAAGAAAGCGTTCCAACTTTACAACAGCAGCGCGGCTGAATCAATGTCACATTCTCCTGTTGATATGTATCCAGTTTGTATTTTCACAAGGGCTTACACGCGCAGTAAACTTGAACATCAGCAACACCCTGAGATGAGAAATTGCATCAGCGGAGAGAAACGCAGCGTAAATATTGACTGAAATGATGTTGCAATTAATCGTAGATCTAATATTTTGTTGAAAAAATAATAATAATTTACCTGATCTTCTGTAAATAGACACTTTAACTTGTAATCTATTTCACTGTTTCAATATAATTACAAGTGCATGTGTTTACTAAACTACCCACCAAACCTGGTCACATTTCCTCGACCTTCCCCCTAAGGTCACTCGTGAGATTTGACTAATCGGCAATCCTCGGCTCATTCCGCAAGCTCCATACTGTGATAGGCGGAGAAATATGCACCAAATCCATGCATTTTGTCCGCCGGAAATGCCTTCTCACTCAATCGATCATTACGCTCATAAGGATGGCTGTCAATACCACTGAATTTTATGATGCTTTACAGTTTGCCAAACAATGCACTAAGATTGACTTTGATTTAAAAGATAAATAGATACAGGCGTTGAAAGAATTAGGTTTAAATTAGCGCGAGGTTGAAAGTAGTTCCTTCCCAACAATCAACAATCAAATATGGCTGCCTCCGTATTACGTCCGAGGTTATTGTCGAGTGCGGAGACATCCGAGTAGTTCCGAGTGTTATCATTGCGTTGGGTGATGTTTAATGTGTACACCACTTAACCATCTTTGTGATGTAGACTTACAATTTTAGGGAAAGAAGTGGGAATTTAGATAACATAACTTTTCAGATGGTTTGTTTGTGTTTTTGTTTTATGTGGCTAATGGTAACATGCATGTTAGATCTAACATTGTATAAATATAGATCACTATAGCTGGCTGATTCTGGTTGGTTTGTCGGTCCTGGTGACACCTTAGATGTACGTAGACATTTAGTGAAATACCAAAAGGTATCAACTCATAAATACCGTAAATGGTAGTACAAAATTCATGCGTTAGCAATTTCCTATATGTTCTGCCGCTGGCTGTACATGAAAGGATCAGAAAGCAAAGGATCCAAATACTAACCAGCATATTCCATCCGTCAACTGAAATAAACTCTCTACTGTAAAGTGATGACCTGTTTGCCCATCCACTGTGACGTGGGAGCTTTCAAAATTTTACCTTACCTCACATCTCGTCAACTCACACTGTTATTAAGTATATCAGTGTTTTCATCGACAGAGCTATGAGTAATACACAAATCCAGTATATATATATATATATATATATATATATATATATACACACAGTATATACACACAGTGGCTCATACCCTGTGAGAAGAGTTCTCTGGCTATACTCTCGGAGTACTGCCACAAAATTTTTTGTTCTGTAAGGGTCATGCGGGTGCATACATGTGTAAGTTAAATTTTAAAAAATTCTTTAATGAGCTTATAGTGTACAGGTTACTAGTACACTTCTGTTCAAGGATTTCAAAAGAACCGGGTTTGTGTAAGAAGTGACTGCAAAGTTTGATTAAATTTAATATCTTTTTATGGTATTTCATTTAATGACTGGAAAGTTTGGTTAAATTTAATATCTTTTTATGGTATTTTTTTAATGGCAATTAAGTGTATAATAATAAGGCACCCTGTAACAGAGCCTGATGTAACGTGACATTTTGACATGGTTCAGTACATTATAAACATTTAAAGTTAGACTTTACTGAAAGCAACAGGTTAAATTGATAGAAGTAAATGCATTCCAATTAAGGTAATATCTCTTAAATAAAGTTATACTGTCTATTAAATAAACATCATTACGTGACATTTCTTTAAGTTTTGAACACCTACTATAGTACTTAAATTATGTACTAGTACTTGAGCTTCACATTCTTGTAAAGTAAATCTGGGAATAACTCTTATGGCAATGTTCATATGTTATTAAACTGTTCAGGCTGTGAATGTCTGTGATTTCTGCTTAATTAAAATAACACTGTTGAAGTGTTCACTTTAAATGGGACAAAATTGTCCTTCTTTGAATAATGTTCAAATATTCAGTTGCGATGCTGCTATTATTTAGCTGCCAGGTAAAACAATTTTAAATGCCAGTCATGTCTTCGTATTTCTATTGATATCCGTGCATGTAACTTGACCTGCAGAAAGTATATGAGGTTTTTTCCTCTTTTAGATGGTGAAGTAAGACCAGTCATTGTCAAAACCATAAGCATGAGGTGGGGTAGGACAGCCATTCAAGTAGCTGCTGCTTTTGCAGTAGTGCTGGTGATAATATACTTTAACCAACGGTTAACTTTATCATTAAGGCCACTAGAGGTGAAGATCACACATTTAACAGATGTGTCAAAGGAAAATACAAGAGAAGTTCAAGGGAGTCAATCATCAAACCTTGATAAAGTTGCTGTGGTTGTAGCAATGGACAAAGTTGAAACTGCAGAAATAATAAAACACAAGAGCCAGGCAGCTCTTATGGTCAATGTGCCTTTTTTCAAAACTCTTCTCCATAGCTTCTGTCTAACAGCATCTCTGGGGTTTGAGTACAATTTTTACATTGGGTTCCTCCACACGGATGAAGATTTCAAGAAAAGTGGTCAGATGCTTATAGAATCATTTGTGCAGACCATGAACCATTCCTGCTTGCATTCTGTCAAGGCAACCTTGGTCTTTGCAGCAGTGCCGAATTTTGAAAACAAAGCAATGGCTGTTATTGACACCATGAGGTTAGCATTTATGCAGAATAATAATTATTTTTATCTAGTTGATTCTAAGATGAAAATGGAAAGTAAAAGATGGACAGAGAATTTCACTGAGATACNGATGCTTTACAGTTTGCCAAACAATGCACTAAGATTGACTTTGATTTAAAAGATAAATAGATACAGGCGTTGAAAGAATTAGGTTTAAATTAGCGCGAGGTTGAAAGTAGTTCCTTCCCAACAATCAACAATCAAATATGGCTGCCTCCGTATTACGTCCGAGGTTATTGTCGAGTGCGGAGACATCCGAGTAGTTCCGAGTGTTATCATTGCGTTGGGTGATGTTTAATGTGTACACCACTTAACCATCTTTGTGATGTAGACTTACAATTTTAGGGAAAGAAGTGGGAATTTAGATAATGAGGTAACATAACTTTTCAGATGGTTTGTTTGTGTTTTTGTTTTATGTGGCTAATGGTAACATGCATGTTAGATCTAACATTGTATAAATATAGATCACTATAGCCGGCTGATTCTGGTTGGTTTGTCGGTCCTGGTGACACCTTAGATGTACGTAGACATTTAGTGAAATACCAAAAGGTATCAACTCATAGATACCGTAAATTGCGTTAGCAATTTCTTATATGTTCTGGCTGTACATGAAAGGATCAGAAAGCAAAGGATCCATATACTAACCAGCATATTCCATCCGTCAACTGAAATAAACTCTCTACTGTAAAGTGATGACCTGTTTGCCCATCCACTGTGACGTGGGAGCTTTCAAAATTTTACCTTACCTCACATCTCGTCAACTCACACTGTTATTAAGTTTATCAGTGTTTTCATCGACAGAGCTATGAGTAATACACAAATCCAGTATGTATATATATATATATATATATATATATATACACAGTGGCTCATACCCTGTGAGAAGAGTTCTCTGGCTATACTCTCGGAGTACTGCCACAAAATTTTTTGTTCTGTAAGGGTCATGCGGGTGCATACATGTGTAAGTTAAATTTTTAAAAATTCTTTAATGAGCTTATAGTGTACAGGTTACACTTCTGTTCAAGGATTTCAAAAGAACCGGGTTTGTGTAAGAAGTGACTGCAAAGTTTGATTAAATTTAATATCTTTTTATGGTATTTCTTTTAATGGCAATTAAGTGTATAATAATAAGGCACCCTGTAACAGAGCCTGATGTGACGTGACATTTTGACATGGTTCAGTACATTATAAACATTTAAAGTTAGACTTTACTGAAAGCAACAGGTTAAATTGATAGAAGTAAATGCATTCCAATTAAGGTAATATCTCTTAAATAAAGTTATACTGTCTATTAAATAAACATCATTACGTGACATTTCTTTAAGTTTTGAACACCTACTATAGTACTTAAATTATGTACTAGTACTTGAGCTTCACATTCTTGTAAAGTAAATCTGGGAATAACTCTTATGGCAATGTTCATATGTTATTAAACTGTTCAGGCTGTGAATGTCTGTGATTTCTGCTTAATTAAAATAACACTGTTGAAGTGTTCACTTTTAATGGGACAAAATTGTCCTTCTTTGAATAATGTTCAAATATTCAGTTGCGATGCTGCTATTATTTAGCTGCCAGGTAAAACAATTTTAAATGCCAGTCATGTCTTCGTATTTCTATTGATATCTGTGCATGTAACTTGACCTGCAGAAAGTATATGAGGTTTTTTTCCTCTTTTAGATGGTGAAGTAAGACCAGTCATTGTCAAAACCATAAGCATGAGGTGGGGTAGGACAGCCATTCAAGTAGCTGCTGCTTTTGCAGTAGTGCTGGTGATAATATACTTTAACCAACGGTTAACTTTATCATTAAGGCCACTAGGGGTGAAGATCACACATTTAACAGATGTGTCAAGGGAAAATACAAGAGAAGTTCAAGGGAGTCAATCATCAAACCTTGATAAAGTTGCTGTGGTTGTAGCAATGGACAAAGTTGAAACTGCAGAAATAATAAAACACAAGAGCCAGGCAGCTCTTATGGCCAATGTGCCTTTTTTCAAAACTCTTCTCCATAGCTTCTGTCTAACAGCATCTCTGGGGTTTGAGTACAATTTTTACATTGGGTTCCTCCACACGGATGAAGATTTCAAGAAAAGTGGTCAGATGCTTATAGAATCATTTGTGCAGACCATGAACCATTCCTGGTCGCATTCTGTCAAGGCAACCTTGGTCTTTGCAGCAGTGCCGAATTTTGAAAACAAAGCACTGGCTGTTATTGACACCATGAGGTTAGCATTTATGCAGAATAATAATTATTTTTATCTAGTTGATTCTAAGATGAAAATGGAAAGTAAAAGATGGACGGAGAATTTCACTGAGATGCTTTCAAAAAGTCGCCCTGCTGCAAATTTAGGGATTGTGCTACCTTCAGTGGCCAGCATTGATGCAAAATCTCCTATTCCATTTTCATTCGTGCACAGAAGACATTTTGACATTTTTGGTCTTTTTTACTTATTTGAAGCAAGAAAGTATGGAGACTGGTGGTTGAAACAAGTGTATGACAACAAGTATTTTGTTAACCCAGAAGTCAAAGTTAGTTGTGAAAAGTCCACCATCACTGTAGCAATCCCAGCTGGTGCAGAACTAGATGCCATGAATGCTGTTGTGAAATCCAGTAAACATCTCATAGATAGATGGGTGGAGGGTGCCCAGGTAAAACCTAATGCAAATCGAGTTATTTCATTTTCACTTTATGGAGACAGTCCACGCTATGCCTTTGGTGCCATTAGAAATGCACAGTTAGCTCGTCTTTTTCTTCCCCAGTGGACTGCCAGATTTTATGTTGTGGGAAAGGGGACAAAATATCCTACTCCAGGTGAAGGCACTGTTCAACACTTAAAGAGACTTGGGGCTGAAATTTTAACTCTAGATGCAGGAACTGTAAACAAACTGGCACCCATGCTATGGAGGTTTTTACCAGGAGATGATTCAAGGCTTGAAGCTTACATTGTTCGAGATACAGATAGCCGCCTCTCAGAACGTGAGGCCAATCTCATTCAAGAGTGGATGACAGCAGATACTGCATTTCATTGTATTAGAGATCACCCAAGTCATGGGAACTATGCAATTTCAGGGGGGTTGTTTGGAGGAAAACCTAAAAAACTTAAGAAGTTACTGGACCACAGTTGGGGGGAGATGATGGCAGGGTATGGTGCTGGCTATATTCAAGACATGAATTTTCTGAATGCAGTTATTTGGCCTAAGGTTAAAACGGACTCCCTATGTCATGACAGTGTTTCTTGCATCAAATATCCCAAAACTGCTCCAATAGTGGCACCTCGGGATAAATATTTCCATATTGGCGCAGTTTTTAATGAGTATGATCAGATGCGTCAGGGGGATGTTAATATCCTAAAAAATGCTGGTGTGAATAAAGCATGTACCAATTTAGAGATGTTTAAGCAAAAACAAGGATAATTTTATCTTTAAGATGTACTGGTATTAAAGAAATATTTATATTATGATTATTTTATGATGTTTAAAGCAATTTCTTTAAAGTTCTTGACTTTTTTAATAAGCACTGCATGTACATGACAAATATAGTTAAATAATAAGATATGATGAAATTGGGAACTCCCAATGATTGTATGGCTGCCAAAATTTGTTAATCCCCTCATCAACTGTTTTAATTATGTGCCATCCCTATGCTTCTGTTTTTGTTAAACTTTCACCGTGTATATTTTCTTTGGAGCAGTGCTAATATCTTTTACTTTGTTCTCCATACATTAATACATTATACATGTATATATCATTTTTTGTCATTATTAGAATGCATAGGGTAAGTAATCTGGTTTGTTCTGAAGTACAAATCTCTCAAGTTGTCTCCTATTATTTTTTTTTGTCACGTTGGACTATTTTTTAAAATTAAAATAAATGATTACATTCCATTAAATAGCATTATATATTTGTTAATAATGTATATTGTTTTTAAATATGTAAATTGTTAGTATTTTAATAGTAACAAATGGCAGTGTGATTAAAATTAATTTTGTTTGTAAAAACCGTCTTTCACCGGGGCAATTTGATTTTAATCAATTCTCATGAAGTACTTAGAAAACTTACAGCTGTTTACAACATGTGTCAATGAGATAGGGGTGTCAAAGATAGATACTATGTTTTCTGTAGACATCAAGAAGGTGGATTAGTAGTTTTATCAGGAAGGAAAGTCCAGGATATAAGAATTGTGTCCCAATTACATAAATTAAATCAGCTAATATATAATCATTTTTACTTTGACTGAGGTCAGTATGTTATTTTTTCAGAAGATGGAAAAGGGATATCACTTTTTGAAGTCTGCAAAAAAATATATTGAAAGCAAAGTTTTGTTTTTTTAATCTAGAATTGATTATTTTTCTTAAACATTTTAGTTATTTACTGTGAGTGTTTTTATGTGAGAATCCATATGTTTTTTTCTAGAATACTCTTAAATTTCATTGTTGTTAAGCTCTGTAATTTTTCATTTATCTATTCGGAATTCCTAATAGATTTCCTAAGTAATTGTGTTATGTATATGTTAAGTCTTCTGAACATGTTATAATGGATTTCAGAATCAAAATAAATTTATTATTATTATTATTTCTCATTGATTGCTTTGTGATATGATTAAAAACCCAAATGTCAGTGTATTCCAAGATAACACCAGAAGTTACAGCATGTTATGTAATTAATGCTAATTATGTAATAATAGTAAAATATACAAACAAATGTTCAAAAAGATAGCCCTGTTTTATTTACTTGCATATTGCAATATACTTCAGTAATAACTGTATAAAAACTTAAATATTCATTTAACCAATAAATCATAGGGAAGATATAATAAAATCAAAGGGCTGATTCCTACAGATATTTGTATCCATCTCCCTGGGGAGCCTCACTAAATTGCTATTAACCTAACCGGCTTAAATGTCTGTCCAGCCTAGTAAAGCTGTTAGGGGGTAATTATCTTTACCCCCTAGCTAATTCTAGCAATTTAGTGGCACTCTCCAGGGAGTTAGACCAATCCACATGGATCGTTTAAGGCATGGGAACCCAGTAAAAAAAATTATAAATCATCATTGTCCGCCTATGTGCCCTTCAATATAAAAGGTACAAAAACCTTCCCTTTTCTGCCCCAGTAAAATCATATATGCTTTTCAGACCACAACTATAGTTGTGACAAGAAAATTATGTGTAAAAATTCAAGAAGTATAATTAAAATTATCAAAAAGTACTTAATAGATGTTTACGCCAAATATTATTTTACAAACATACTGAATACAACAATTATGGCACCTAAAAGACCATCCCACAACATAAAAAATTACTGAATTGACTAATTGCTAATATAAATATCACAGGCATGTCTGACTTGTTCCACAGATACTTTAAAATTATGAAATATAAATTTGTGTTCAATGTTAAATGCTATTATACTGTAACATCTTTTTTGACCATTTCCAAATTGAAGTATTTAATGATCTCTTTCTTCAGGTGGTCTGTATGGTAAACCAAACTCTGCAAAGATTGCCTCCTCAGATGGAGTTGACACAGGGGTACCTTTGAAAATCTTTTCCCCATTCTACAAAGATAAAATTTGATATATTAAGCTGAAATTAAGTATAAAACTTTTTAACATAGGTTCCAGTCTTTGCAGTAAAAAATGACTCCGAAAAACTGGATTTATTTAACTCTTTCAAAGTCAAAATCCCATTACATGGAATGATAACTTCCTCTTTTGTGGTCCCCTTACAAAGCTGACAGATTTTTAGTTAACACAATGTGTCAGTGTGGCTATTTTGACAAAAATTAAATAAACCAATGTTGTCCACATCACCCACCTTTCTCACCACACCTGTATTCAGTGAGTGCTCATTTAATGACATCCCCATCTTTGTAGCTAGGTGCCTCATTGATCTGTTGAAATGAGCAGAGCCAGTGAAATACATCAGGGCACAAGCAAACTCACTATGAGGAACAACAATGATATCCAGTCTTCTGTGCTGAAAGAAATTCACATAATGCTGGAATAAATACATTAGAGGGATAACAACTCTTCATATGAAATCTATATTTCATTATAAAAACATTGTAAACAACTCAAGGAAATATAATATATTCTATTCCACCAACAAAAATGGCAGTTAAAGCAATTATTCTAAAATCTGTGCTTGTCATCCAACCATATGACCTCCATAGATGGCTATAGTCTGTAATAATCTCTTAAGAGATTATTGCAAAAAAGCAAACTTCTTAGAAAAAAACCAGGGACTAAATTTGAATGTAGAAAAGAATGGGAAAATTGTTATTTACCCCAGGAAAATTCATTTTTTGGCCAAAATGAACAGTTGTTATCCCTTTAACTGGGAGTTTCAGTTTGATGGAAACCCACCTCTTATTAACAAACCTACACCGTTAGTGTCATATATGTTACTCTGATCATGAACTGATTAGTGGTCTGTCAGTATGTCAGCTATGGCCATGAAGCTCTTTGTTTCTTCACATTTTCTCTCCATCTGAGGAGTTCTGTTATTTGTTTATCATAAAGACGTCTTTGTAAACAAGGAGAAAAAATCCTTCTAGTTTAGAAGATAACAGTTATGATTTACTTTGATAAATAGACTTAACCCCTCCACTTCAATGCATAAAAAGGCTGTAAAAAGATCTTAATTATGCTTCATTTTTAGTTACATAATAAAGATGGAACCTATGCATTATAAAAACCATAATTTGGACAGGCCTAGATAAGCCAACGTATTGCAGGTAATTTAGTGCTTAAAAAGTAGGTGACCCTTCCTTAGAGCATGGCCGAACAATACATTCCATCCATGGTTGGAGCAAGGCCAGGCTTGAAAGATCTGAAATTTGTCTTTGGATTAAAACCCCTACCAATCCACTACAGTATGATAAAGTGTACACTTTAGATGTGACAAAGTAATATTTTCCCCTAACCTTTCTTCCAGCCCCTGGTAGTTTGCAGACTCCTAGATACTTTTTTTGGTTTCCCACTTCTTCATGTGAAACCAAATCATCAGTAAGGAAACCTACAAAGATCAACAGCAGTGTGGCAATACAGAACTGCAAGAAAGGAAAGCCCTTTTTACTAAATAAACTGAGCTTGGCACATATGGAATTAAATGAAATAATTTTCTTCAAAATCAAAATGCAAAATTAAATAAAAAAGCAGACCTTTGGTTGGAGATTGCAAAAATAACCAAACTGGGACCATTTTTTTTTTTTTTAGTAAAATGCACCTGTTGAAATTTGAGGTGAGGTAGGTGCATGACAGGTGTAAAACCAGTTTTATTCCACCTCAGGGTAATTTTGCTGTCATACATCATATCTGACTCCACAAACAAATATAAGTGTATCGTTGTGGTGGCAGATCTTTTTGTGTTGTTTTTCCAGTCTTTTATGGGATGGACGTGAGGAAAATTGCAAATCAGATATGCTGAATGTATATCAGAGATTAGCCTGAGGAATATATCCTGCTAAGAAACAAAATGGAATTTCATGTGTTTTGTGTATCAAAATTTATTACAAAAACATTTCAATGAAATCATAATAGAACATTTAAATATACATATTGTTGGAAGAGATTTCAACAACTGAAAGATTGAAGTATAATGACATCAAACATTTTAAAAATAATATAAATATATATAATACTGTTTTGTTAAGTATTTTACTTAAGCCAAAAACTTTAAAATACAGTAAGTTACAGAATATATCTAAATAAGTAAATAAATAAATAAATAAGATATAAAAGCCCCCTTGAAATTGTGTATATTTATAACACATTTATGTTTGTTCATATTTTCATTTAGTCTGATGGGTCTTGATTGACAATTTTTTCTATTGGCACATTTCTATAATTCCTTGTGCATTCACTGTTTTGATATGCCTGTTTAACAAACTCCACAACCAAGTCATCAGCTATATTTCTGATAAAACCCATTGTCAACAATCAAATGGCAATGATCCAAGTGCTGTTAGTCACAAGTTCCTAGGACATTTCATCCAAACATGTCTGAGACAGATATGTCACTGCTGAAAAATCATATTAGCCAAGAAAATGAATTTTCATCTTCTCAAACTGAATGATATCACCTAAGGTCCACTTATATAACACCATCATACAAATTCTTCCCTTAGTTTGTCTTGCGTGGGCATGTTGTTGAACCTGAAGTCTCTCTGCTAATCTGGCCAATCTCCAGGATTTATATTTGGTATAGTGTTCAAGCAACATTTTCTGGGAGTCGTTTCACCTTTGGGAATAACAAGAAAGCCGAAAGTATCGTTCCACAAATTGTAAAAAAAGCGCTGCTTCCAATTCAACTTTCACTTTCTATTTCGTCACTGTCTCTTAATCAAAGGAGTTCCGCTTACATCGTCTGTAAAGGCCCGCTCATGTGGAACGCTGTTGCGTTTATTACGCAGGGTTGTGACCTCCACGACATCCAGTGCTTCTAAAATATTTGCTAATCCTCCTCTCCGATACGAATTTCGAGGACAGAGGGTTGCATTTTCTTGATTTTCATCCTCACAAGCATCCATGTAATAGTACATCCTGCGCTCAGCTAAAGACAGGCCGTGCTCTTTATCGAGTCCTTCAAATATGTTGGACATTGCGTTTCTCCTCATCAGCGAAGGCTTCGACATTATGTTATAAAAAACCACAGTTTCTCTTTCAAATGACATGGATGGAACTCGTGGTATGCTGTCTCTATTTAAGTTAGGTGCCGTTGTGAAAACATAGGTTTTTATAGTAATGAGTGATTCGCCACACTTGCGTCAGAGGAAATTAGATTAGAGGCAATCCCTGTTTTGAGCCAATCAGAGTCGACCAAAGTGAATCTTTTATGTCGATACCCAATCTAGATTTCCCACATCAACTAACCGATTCGTCATGCGGTTATGACTTAATAACTACGTCAAACTTTGTATCACATGCTGTAACAATGGGGTTGAATCGACAGAATGCAATTATTTCTGTTACCCATCTCTCGTATGCATATTTAAATTACGCTATATATATTCTGATGAGAAGGTTAGTTACTGGGTATATGATTATTCACGTAGGCCTATGACAGGGAATTTAGGGATAGTAAATTAAGTTAATTAGTGAGAATTTGCACAATTGGCCCTAGGATTCGGCTCAACATTCTGTTGGATCCTAGCTCAGCCTACATACACGCCTTGTCTTTCATATCAAAGTGGATTTTGCTACTATCTTGTATGTAGAAGGAGGAGTGACGCGTCAGTGCTTTCGTTTTTTAAGCGTGTACAAGCACATATCGAACATATCAAATACGTACAGCATATGGGGTTTTCGTGCTTTCTTGTAATTTGTAACGTGTAAAAAAATACACTAAACTGAAGCTACTCAAATGTTACAAAAACACAACTCTACCAGTGGCAAGCCACCCACATTACGGTATCTTGTAAATTTTATGCTTATTTGAACCTAAGATCTAATATTCCGTTTATTAGATATTAGTTTGAACTATACACTATCAGTGTATGGGCCTGTTGCCAGCGCCTGTCTATACACATGTTATCAAGAATCTTGATGTTATTATATGGATTCGAAGAACTTGATCAGTTTACGTTAACATGAACCTTAAAAAGGAGGCCCATAGTGAAGGGAAGAGGCTTCGAAAGAACCGTCCATTTGGCCAGTAATGGTCCTCTTATAGTTACAATTTTATTTGATCTTCAATTTATCAGACCTTAATTATAGAGCAATGACATAATTAGCAGACATAAACATTGAACGGTGAGTTAAATCGTGCAAACTATATTTTTAATACTTGGTTAACAGACTAGCTTTGGTGGAACGCCGCATCAGTGATTCTGAATAAAAAGAAACCCGACATGACTCGCTTTTTCTGTGATTAGACATAGTCTTTGCGGCATTGAAATTTAAAACGACGCAATAAAGTTAACTTTATAAGTATTATTGTTCAGTGAGATAAGCAGAAGACCGCAAAACCTTTTCTTTTAAATGCGTCGACGTCAAAGTTTTGGACGGGGAGTGCCAATTTAATACAGACAACGCACTATTGTATCACAATTCCACAATCAGTTCCCTTTTTTTCACTTAAGAGTACAAGCTGGTCTAGAAAAAAAAACGGCCTATTTTATTTTCCTTTTCAATTTTGATATACATGTAATTAAGATATTGCCAACTTTCTTTCAACAAATTGTTCCATAAGGATGGCCATTTTATCCTTGCAAATTCTGCAAAAAATGGAAAGCATTACGGCAGTAAAATTTCGATCATCATCATCACACGTAACACGTTCCTTTCTGAGTATACTGTAGTTCTGAGTATTGTGTGGGCGCATCGCTATTCATATCAGTGCGGTGTAAATCCTACCGCGTTAAAGTAAATGTCTTTACCAAGAGATAGAGAGAAAGAGAAAGGGTCGTGCCATGTTGAACTTTTCCATGGACACATCGGCTTCCTACACCTCGGAAGAAAGACTTAAGAATTATCCTTTTTTTGTGACATAAAGGAAATCTTTAAATTCCGTGATTTTCTTAACCAATACTCTTTTTCTTTCTCAGATCTGACGGCAAAAAACCGTTCCATTCTCAAACCGTTCATCAATTTTCTTCGTAAAAGAAGACGTTTTATTCAAAATCAACATATCGTGTTTTCATGATGCCTATGTCTTCGCATGTTCATTCACGCACAAGAAAAGGAAGGTGTGGTCTTTCGCCATTACGCATCTACTTGCGTGATATGGTAGGTAATACGCGATTATAATTCGTCCCGATATGCCCTAAGGAAATTAGAATTTTGCAAACATTTTCACTATTGTTCATATGTTCTAGCAAAATATTTTCACTTCTCAGGGTATCAGCATAATATAAGGTCAAGTTACAACAGTAAATACAATGAAATAAGTATTGCATTTATTTTGTAATAAAATCTGTGGTAAATATGAAATGAACGCTAAGCGAACTAGCACCTATCGGTAATTCAGGATAAAAAATGGGCATCATGAAAACGGACGACAGAGGTTTATGCATCCAATTCAAAGAAATTAGCTGGATATAGACTGGATATAGACAAGTATTGGTCTTGTGTCCAGAATTTAAATGAAAAAAAAAATTATATTTGGGCAAGGGAAACGTGCCGCATAACACTTTTACGAAAAAAAATTCATGAAAATCACTGTTATCATTTCTTTTACTTATTTCTGACTTACTTACACTTCGGTACAAAAATGATTTTAAAATATGCTTACCTTGGTCTTTCAACTTAACAAGAAGTTTATTAAACACTCCTTTGTGTGAATGCCCATCAGGATGAGTAATTAGTACATCTACATCTCCACAAGTCTTCTTTCCACGTCTGTATGATCCACAGGCCATGGCTATCAGCCCTGATTGAATGCTGAGGGCTGCCTCTTTCACCTGGGGGAATTGATTCAAAATGTAGCAATGATTATAAACGATTAAGAAATTCTCATCTAAGACTGGGTTCCCACAGATTTAGATCAATCCATCTGGATCGACCTAACTCCCTGGGGTTCATGCTAAATTACTGTCAGCTTCTGAGAGCTGAGCGCACACAAAAGTTAATTCTAGTCGGCGGCGGCGGGGGGAGGCTAGCATATTTTACATGGGGATCACTCTGCATTGAGAAAAGATAGATAATCCCTAAAACTGAAAATGAAATATCTTAATTTTTGTATTTTTTTTCTTTTTTAGTGAATGAGAGACTTTATTTCTGTAAACAGGCCTCTGGCCTTATATTACAATTGGCAATTGTTTGCATAATATGTGCACATAAAACAAAAACTATTTTAATTACTCTTTTATGAAGTGTAACTTACAGTGGCTTCAATTTCTGCAGCCTCTTCTCTTGGCATTCTGTCCAAGAGTTCATCATAATACTTCAAACCAACTTTTTGCTGACGGGTAAGATTTGCTTTTGTTTTCAAATCTTCTAGAGACCTCATACCCTACAAAATATATAATCAGATGAATGGCATGACATACAGTTCTAATGAAAAGAACATCACAGGAAGCAGCAGTTAAAAAATGCAAATGCACAATTAATATTAAAAAGGAAACATTAGGAAAACTAAAGTCTTACCTGCTGCACCCATGCTCTGGCCGTAGTGGGTCCGGCTCCCCAAATATTAGTGAATAAATTTAATGTTGCTATATCTCCAGCTGATGACAATTCATTGAGTTTTCTTAACTCTCCACTTTCAACAATTTCCCAAATTTTGTCTGCTAAACTGGCACCAATACCTGGTATGGCTTTGGCTTGCTGAAGAATACATAGCATACATGAGAAAAATGTATTAATTGTACTTAAAAAAACCCATGTAAGACTGTTGGTTTAATACAAGCATTTTAAAGTAAATGCATTTTAATTACAAATTTTTCTGCCATGAAAATTTATTCATTGGGATGTCATTCTATACATGATTTGTATGTTCCCTAAAAATGAATTATATTCACTCACTTCCCATGATGTTATCTCTTTGTCATATCTTTTCAATGCTGCAACAGCTTTCTGGTAGGTCATTGCTCTCCATCTATCATTTGTACTCTGATAGGTTTTAGCAAGTTGCTGAAATATTTTAATAAAATATGTATAAATTAAGAAAAATGCCAATTCACACTGACTAGTAAAATTTTGAAAAATAATTGTGTGTATTTTCCATTTTGATTACTTATTTTGAATGAATGAATAGATAATGCAAACCTCTAGTTTTTCTGTTATATGTTGGTTGGCATTGTAGGTCTTTTGTAATGAGGACTGTGCACATACCCAGTTGCCTTTCTACAAAAGATATATATATATATATATAAATCATAAGTGCTGTTTTAACCTAAATAGAAAGAATTATTTGCTTATTTTGACCTGTTCTAGCAGTAAAACAAATCTGGGAATTTTATATGTACCAAGCTCACTGAAATACAGTATAATGACATACTGAAAAATGTTCTTTCATACTGTTGAAATGATTCCTCGGACTTCACCTTAGAATATGATACTAAAAATATTTCCAAGCTCAGTTATGAGTTTCTTAAATGCTCTAACATCTACCTGTTGCATTGTTTTCAACCAGGTTTGATATTTTTATAATATTTACTTTTGCAACAACTTAATCAATTGGTATTCTATCAAAACAAAATAAATATGTATCTGTGAACATTTTCCTAGTGTACTTAATAACTGAGTATAAGGCAAGAGTCTCACTGGTAACTTTCTTGGAGAAACACTTGTTGGTCTGAAGCTGCTGGTACTACTCTCTTTAATCATATCATCAGAATTCCTACAATCTTCTTCACCATCACTGGGCATATAATCACTTTCATCATCTCCTTCTCCTTGCGCATTTAACACAGCATCTTTTTTATATTTGTCAACATGACATGTCCCACTTGCAGGAACATTGTTAGAACAGGTTTTTTCTTCTTTTGTGGAATCCTTGCTCTGATCACCAGCTATTGATATTGCTGACATATTTTTTTCTTTAACATTTGAGGCATTCATTTGGACCTCAAAACCATTTGTAGGTACAAGTTCTTTTTGTTTAATGCACATGCTTAACCACATTGATTTCACAATCTTAACATTCGGAGGAGGTGCTTCAACTTTTAAAATTTTACACAATTTTTCATAGTCCATTTTATCATCAATAATCATGTGTGTTATGTTTGGTGTCCTGTTTTTCTCGTGCTGCCCTCCATGTTTAAAAATTTGGTTCCTGAAGATATCACACCTTGCTTTGGTTAATCCCCCAGCCTGTAATATAAAGAATGTTAAGTTTTTGAAAATATTGTCATTGACGGCAGCCGATTGCACATTTTCATCTTTTGTGTCCCCCAGATTTGGCTTATCTTCAGCTCCAACCTCGTTTTTCCTCTGCCTTTTGCGTGGATGGTCATTAGCATCATTTACACGGTTTTGTTTATGCATAATTTACCAATATATCCAAAACGATCCCTGTTTGAGTTTCAAATGTTAACAAAATCAAGCTTGGGCAGTTTTGTAGTAAAATCTGTAGTAAAAAATAATCAACAACCTTGACCTTAAAAACTTACTTCCTCTTCTGTCAGTATTAAGGACTGTGATTGGATGGATTTTGTTACTGCTCCTTTCATTCGACGACATCCCAGTTTCTATTTGATATGGCGGCAAATACTTGAATGAAGATTTGAAGAAGTCAAGCTTTTCGAAGCAGGTAACACACTCGTTTGTGTTTAAGGGGCGGAAGCAAGACTGCTCCCGTTTATCTATTCTCACTGTTGTTTATATGCTGCAATGCTGCACCTATAAACTGTGTTCAGATATCAACATCCAGTTTTGTTTTGACTTCATGCACTTGCTACGGTTTTCCCTGTTACATGTACTGTAGCACTTACTCATGTTATTTTCAGACTTGGAAAAGTTATTATTATTGTGTGATTAAGTAATTAAAATTCTGTTGATAGAATGGTAGTATGTAATATTTTTCACAATTTTTGCATTTTTCTTTCCTTTTTTAAGAAAGTTTGATCATGGACAAGAAAATTTTGAGTTTATTTGACGAAGGGACAGTGGCACCCCTGACTGAGCTCCTAACAGGAATATCAGAAAATGAGGTAACTTTCTTATAGGCCAAGTTTTCTGTCTTTTGCACTTCTGTTCACATTTTCTGTAATTACTGAATCGCCAGAGCCATTTACATACTGATGTAATATAAAATTTGGGCATACTTAATGTTTAAAATATGTGAACAGTTGTTGGATGCTAGGTTTGGTAGGGTTTGTTAATAATTGTGGGATATTGTGCTAATAAATTCAATGTACAAACATTCTAAAAATATACACTGATTGATTATTAAATCCCTTGGCTTTTCAGCAATGATTGACCCACGAAGCTTATTTAGAGATTAAGGGAAAAGTTGAAAGCCTCCAAAACAACTGATTTGATGTTTGATATCATTTTCATCACAAATCTTATATCTGTGAGACTGGAACATAATATGAAATATAGAAATGTGAATTGGATGCACGAGGTTGATCATTTGGACCATTATATCAGAGATAGTTCTTTTTAGAAGAAAAGTATACAGTACATGTATGTCAGTTCACATGCTTTACTTTTAATGCTTATACAGTGGATTGTACAATAACTATAGTTGTATATTTTTATAACTATAGTTAAGAAAGTAAGACTGCTTAGTATACTATTTCAGTTAACCTCATTGATTAATAACAGAGCTTTGAGGGGAAAGGGAGATCCAGTTGCCTTGGTCAGAGCTATATTATATGGTAAGATAAGACAAATCCTTTTTCCATTTTTGAAATTTATTTTCATAGCCTAAGATTCAAGAATTTGATGAATGCCAATATTGCTACTATTTGGAGACGTTTGCAAAATCTAATGTAAATTATCAGGAAAATGCAACAGTAATCATGTTTAATTTTTAGTAATTTATTATAACTTTCCCCTCAAGATTGATTTACCTGTTTCAGGCTCTCCATGTATAAGTACAGATAATGTTCAACGAAGGTTATTGGTATATAAAGTTTGCATTGGCCTCCTGCAAGGCAATGAGATACAGTCAAAGGTAGCAGCAGAGCTTGTTGGACTGCTCATGCTGGAAGTAAGTTAGAAATTTAATTTAATCAGGACTTTAGGGTATAGAAACTCCATTATTTGATAATTCCATGTTGAACATAATAATATCAGCCTGAATAATACTTCAAACTGGGCTCTCCTTGCTCATTTTGAAATTATGTCTTTTTGCCTTGAAACACCAAAAACAAAAAATGGGCTAAATCTTGATACTTGCCATTTCAAAGATCTATAGCATTTACTAGTGTTTAGAGAGTGCTTATTCTTCAGCTTGTTGGCTTCTAGGTTTTGAGGGCTTTTAAATATTGCATGAATTTTTTTTACTCTGATTATGATATGATAAACCTGAAATATTTATCTGACACAGTATGACATGTCACATGTGTAAAAATTGTAAGAGTTTAGCAATTCTTAAATAAAAGATACACAGTTTTTTTTTTTTTTTTTTTTTTTTTTNNTTTTTTTTTTTTTTTTTGTGAGTTTTCAGTTGTTTTTGAAAATCCAATAAATTGTTTAAAACAATATGGTAATTTTTTTTCATGGTATTGATCTCCAGGTAGATAACTTTCCAGGACGCAGTTTAGCAGAATTAGCTGGAGACTATGTGGATTCAATAAAAAATGGTACTGCCAGTGGTGGAAAGTATGTATTTTGCTTCAGCTGCCTTTCACAAGTTAAATCTGACATTTGACACTGATTAAAGTAAAGTGGAATCTGAAAGTTCACCAGCTTATTATTTCTTCAAGTTTTGATATGAAAGGTAAATCACCAGGCCCATGGCTGGCAAAGGGGTATTTCCTTTTTCTGAAAAAGTGGACCTTTTACCATGTAAAAGCCTTCGTGTACATAGATAAAATTTTACCCAGAGTGGACCTTTCCCAGTAAAAATGGGGTTCTTCTGAACCCCCTGGCTATGGGCCTGATCATTGTATCAAGGATTAAAATGGTAATTATATTTCCTTGTATTTTGTATTTTAGATCACTTGAGTTGTTTCCAAAAGTGCTATCAGCCATAGCCTCTCAAGAAGTGATAGCTTATGCTGGAAATGAAGTAAAGGGTCCTGAATATAAAAGTCACATACTGAACACAATGTGTGCAAGCAAGTAAGAAATCTGATTTGAAAACATTAGTATTAATTTTTTAATTATCTCCCTTTCAAAAAGAGTATATGAAATATGTTGATATGTACTTTCTAATATTTTGATTTCATATTATAAAATATTCTGTCTTTGAAATGTATTCTGAAAGGAAAATTTAGATAACTTTTTTCACTAGGTGGGATCCAAAAAGTGTCATTCCCCTTGCTACCATTTTTCGTGACATCCCTGTCACATCTGATGAACTGCAGTTTCTCATCAACAAAATAATGAGAATGTTCAAGGATGTGGATTTTGATGAACTGCCTCCCCTGGTTTATCAGCTTTTACTGCTGTCTACAAAGGTAGATGCAAATTAGTAAAATGTAGAGACGTGTAGTTTACGATTAAGATATCTTTCAGTTGTAAGTTATCTTTCAATTAAAAATATTATTTTTTATGAAAACATTTTGTAAACAAGAAGAGATGGATGTGTAGAAAAGAATAATGATAAGGTTGGAATTTATCATGTTAAATTTGCCAATATTTTTACTAATATTTTACAAAATGTTTTAGGGCCATAAACGTCTAGTGCTGGAGGGTATATCTAAATTTTTTATCAAGCAAGACAAAATAAGTGAACAGAAAAGAATAGGGCAAAAGTGAGTATGATTTATGTGCAGTCTAGAGATATGTACAGGTCATGGTTATAGCATTATCCATAATTGATATAACAATAAATCAACAAGCAAATAAGATTGCCAGGTAAACCCAGAGATTTTGAATTTTAAGAACCAGCAGCCACACAAAAGGAGAACTTAACAAAGAATCTTTTAAGCAGACTGTGAAATATTCATGTATGAGACACAGAGTGATACTTCACTGATCACTAAATAATCTATGGATAAAAGATTATTTTGTAATCAGTCGAGATTATTAAAAATATTTTTTCTACATAGAGACGTGATTGACCTGCTTGAAGATGACAGCATGACAGTTGATCAGCTGAGACAGACAGAAGGCAATATCATTTTACACATCACATTTGCTACCAAGCAAGACCAAGAGCTAGGCAGAGAGTTCATTAAATATTTAAAGGTAAGACAGTCATGTTTTAGAATTTTTTGTCTCCTTTAAATTTGTATTCATTGTCTCAACCAGACATTGTTTGGTGATATTTGACGATGTTTCTTAATATGGGTTTAGTGTTAAACAAAAATGTATTCAAAAAAAAAAAAATTAGAATTAAGAAAGATAATAATTACAGATTCTCAGATTTAAATGTCTTAATTCTGTGGGTAATTTTGTATCATTGATTTTAAAAAATTATGTAGTCGTATAGTTACCAGTTTTATTGTGTTATTATGAAAATCTTGCAGTCAAACCAACAGTGTTCTTCAGGGGAGGTCCTTGCACCTTTCAATTTGGCATTGGCTTTGTCAATTGCAAGGATTCACAGGTTTGAGGAACAAGTGAGTATCTACAGCAGTTATTAATTTTTTGCTTATATTGTGCATCAGTTGACATTTATTTGGTTGCTTGAGAGTAAACAGATTATGTATTAAACTAGCAAAAACCATATTATCAGTTCATCATGATTTGATAGAATTTTAACTACAGTAGTTTGTTGCCTTTACCAGAAAGTGCCATTTAAGCATTCAATTTTCAGATCTATGATTTTTTGAAAGCTGCTATTCTGAGGAGTTTTAAGGACAGGGAAAGGCAGCAGGAGTCTTGGTGGGTGAGGGAGATGGTGCCGGTGAATGCAGATGTGGCAGAAATGGTGCTACAGACTGTCAAAAACAGGTGCATTCATATTGTTTATTTATTTAAGAAGGTAAATTCTGCCAAAAAGTCAAGGTTATGAGTTTTATTTTTTCTGCTATGTTCACTGCAACAAAAAAATAAAATAAAAAAATAAATGAAAATAAATAAATAAAGTAACAGTGTATTTGCATGCTTTAAAATCTCCTGCAAGAACAACACTTCTCATCTGATTAAGAGATTAAAATTCTTCCTGGAGGTGAGGTCAAAAAATAAATTGACTGGAAATTTATATTTACATCTTAGTGTATTTGGATGGGACCATGTAACACAGGGCCTAGTTCACTTAGGCTTCACACTGATGGATGCATATGGACCTAAGTCTGCTTTTGGAAAGGTGGAGGTCAAATCACAGTGTTCTCATGTCACCCCAAGCCAAAATGCTTGTAATTTGGGAGCAAAAATGTTGCTGGAGACTTTCAAGGTTTGTGCTGTTATGTCTCTAATTTAATATTGTCTGGCCAGCACGGTCTTGGGTCTGTTGAAAGCTGTCCAACCCTTGCTGTTATGTCTCTATTTAATATTGTCTGTTTGTGTGACAGTCAGTTATTTTTGGAGCTAGTAAAATGCTCATGACATTTGGTTGGAAATTGTACTTCAGATAAAGAGATAAAAATACTTCAGGCATGTTTACATCTGTACTCTTTTCATAATGTGGAAAGTGTCTTTTCTGTTTTGTTTGTCAGGCTCACGAAGTTGTCAGAGGAGAAATATTAGAAGAGATTCTCAATAGAGTTATCACAAAAGCAACTGCTCCTGTTTCCCATTTTCTTGGTAGGTTTTTAATTTTCTATTTGATCTGAATGACAGTGCCGGATGTGTCATCTTACAACTCTGCCTACATGCTTTTTTGTTTATGCCATGTTTTTTTTCTAAAGCTAATCAAAAAATGCCACTGAACATCTGGGGTTGAAGCAATTAAAATGACGTGTTTTTTTTGGTTTTTTTTTTTTGTTTTGTTTTTGTAATATTTTTTTTTTCTTTTTAGACCTCTTGTCTGCAACAGTGAGGTCTGCACCCCAGATTTTACTGGAGTCCGTGCCGAAAGTGCGAGAGGCATTTGACTACCTGTCATTTCTGCCTGCCAGCACAGCCTTGGGTCTGTTAAAAGCTGTCCAACCCTTACTGAAACTGAGCGTCACTCTGAAAGACGCACTGCTACTGGTACTGAGAAAAGCCATGTTTTCCAGGTATTGGATTGAAAGATATTCTACTAATCTATTTATATTATTTTTCGTGCAAGAAAAAGCCAGTATAGAAGGTGGAGAAGTTTTTGGTCAAAGGGGTATAGCAAAAAAAATTAATTTTTACTTTGAAATAGTTATTTTAGGAATTCAAGTTGCTGCTATTATAATGTTTTGAAGTATGCTTTAGAAATAGCTTTAAAATGATATGTGTTTCCAAGGTATTGCACTATGAAAATTATCCAGGGTTCTGTTAGTAATTTCCTGTGTGAAATGATCTGGAAACCATACATCATTTACTGGATTGTAACTTTGATTTCCTGGGAATTTGTATTCTTGGAAAACAGGTTGCCAGGGTGTTTTACTATATAGAGTTACCTAGGAGTGTGGTTGGTGTCGGTTTATTCTACAAATAGTTTGATAATGATAATCTGAGCTTTTTGTAATAGCAAAAATTACAACAATAGCTAAAGCTTATATCATATGGTAGAGTTTAGTCCTACTTTTAGTATTGGTTAGAGTTTTGACTTTTTTATTTGAAAATTTAAAGAACCTTTTTAAAAGATTGTGAAATCAGACCCCCATGGTAATGATAAACATTTATCCTTTACAGACAAATTGAGTCTCGCAGGATAGCTGTTGGAGGTTTTCTGCTTGTTCTGAAGCATTTTAATGTTCTAGGAGGGCTTCCATCCAGTCAATGCAGCCAGGAAATATCATCCAGTCAGGTCTGTGCATCTTAATCATGTTACTTCATATGCAGCTTATCATATGTGTTTGGTTTGTGCATGTNTCAAAAAATTATGTAGTCGTATAGTTACCAGTTTTATTGTGTTATTATGAAAATCTTGCAGTCAAACCAACAGTGTTCTTCAGGGGAGGTCCTTGCACCTTTCAATTTGGCATTGGCTTTGTCAATTGCAAGGATTCACAGGTTTGAGGAACAAGTGAGTATCTACAGCAGTTATTAATTTTTTGCTTATATTGTGCATCAGTTGACATTTATTTGGTTGCTTGAGAGTAAACAGATTATGTATTAAACTAGCAAAAACCATATTATCAGTTCATCATGATTTGATAGAATTTTAACTACAGTAGTTTGTTGCCTTTACCAGAAAGTGCCATTTAAGCATTCAATTTTCAGATCTATGATTTTTTGAAAGCTGCTATTCTGAGGAGTTTTAAGGACAGGGAAAGGCAGCAGGAGTCTTGGTGGGTGAGGGAGATGGTGCCGGTGAATGCAGATGTGGCAGAAATGGTGCTACAGACTGTCAAAAACAGGTGCATTCATATTGTTTATTTATTTAAGAGGGTAATTTCTGCCAAAAAGTCAAGGTTATGAGGTATATTTTTACTACTATGTTCACTGCAACAATAAATAAATAAATAAATAAATAAATAAATAAATAAATAAATCAAGTAACAGTGTATTTGCATGCTTTAAAATCTCCTGCAAGAACAACACTTCACGTCTGATTAAGAGATTGAAATTCTTCCTTGAGGTGAGGTCAAAAAAGACATTAACTTGAAATTTATATTTACATCTTAGCGTATTTGGATGGGACCATGTAACACAGGGCCTAGTTCAGTTAGGCTTCACACTGATGGATGCATATGGACCTAAATCTGCTTTTGGAAAGATGGAGGTCAAAGCACAGTGTTCTCATGTCACCCCAAGCCAAAATGCTTGTAATTTGGGAGCAAAAATGCTACTGGAGACTTTCAAGGTTTGTGCTGTTCTGTCTCTAATTTAATATTTTCTGGCCAGCACGGTCTTGGGTCTGTTGAAAGCTGTCCAACCCTTGCTGTTATGTCTCTGTTTAATATTGTCTGTTTGTGTGACAGTCAGTTATTTGTGGAGCTAGTAAAATGCTCATGACATTTGGTTGGAAATTGTACTTCAGATAAAGAGATAAAAATACTTCAGGCATGTTTACATCTGTACTCTTTTCATAATGTGGAAAGTGTCTTTTCTGTTTTGTTTGTCAGGCTCACGAAGTTGTCAGAGGAGAAATATTAGAAGAGATTCTCAATAGAGTTATCACAAAAGCAACTGCTCCTGTTTCCCATTTTCTAGGTAGGTTTTTAATTTTCTATTTGATCTGAATGACAGTGCCGGATGTGTCATCTTACAACTCTGCCTACATGCTTTTTTGTTTATGCCATGTTTTTTTTTCTAAAGCTAATCAAAAAATGCCACTGAACATCTGGGGTTGAAGCAATTTAAATGACGTGTTTTTTTTGTTTTTTTTTTTTTTTTTTGTTTTGTTTTTGTAATATTTTTTTTTCTTTTTAGACCTCTTGTCTGCAACAGTAAGGTCTGCACCCCAGATTTTACTGGAGTCCTTGCCGAAAGTGCGAGAGGCATTTGACTACCTGTCATTTCTGCCTGCCAGCACAGCCTTGGGTCTGTTAAAAGCTGTCCAACCCTTACTGAAACTGAGCGTCACTCTGAAAGACGCACTGCTACTGGTACTGAGAAAAGCCATGTTTTCCAGGTATTGGATTGAAAGATATTCTACTAATCTATTTATATTATTTTTCGTGCAAGAAAAAGCCAGTATAGAAGGTGGAGAAGTTTTTGGTCAAAGGGGTATAGCAAAGAAAATTAATTTTTACTTTGAAATAGTTATTTTAGGAATTCAAGTTGCTGCAATTATAATGTTTTGAAGTATGCTTTAGAAATAGATATGAAATGATATGTGTTTCCAAGGTATTGCACTATGAAAATTATCCAGGGTTCTGTTAGTAATTTCCTGTGTGAAATGATCTGGAAACCATACATCATTTACTGGATTGTAACTTTGATTTCCTGGGAATTTGTATTCTTGGAAAACAGGTTGCCAGGGTGTTTTACTATATAGAGTTACCTAGGAGTGTGGTTGGTGTCGGTTTATTCTACAAATAGTTTGATAATGATAATCTGAGCTTTTTGTAATAGCAAAAATTACAACAATTGCTAAAGCTTATATCATATGGTAGAGTTTAGTCCTACTTTTAGTATTGGTTAGAGTTTTGACTTTTTTATTTGAAAATTTAAAAAACCTTTTTAAAAGATTGTGAAATCAGACCCCCATGGTAATGATAAACATTTATCCTTTACAGACAAATTGAGTCTCGCAGGATAGCTGTTGGAGGTTTTCTGCTTGTTCTGAAGCATTTTAATGTTCTAGGAGGGCTTCCATCCAGTCAATGCAGCCAGGAAATATCATCCAGTCAGGTCTGTGCATCTTAATCATGTTACTTCATATGCAGCTTATCATATGTGTTTGGTTTGTGCATGTTTT